ACCTCTTTTATCTCGTGCCAAACTTGCCCTTCTCCATCTTAACGCCTTGATTCCCACACCAGACACTCCCCGCGCCCACCTCCTCCTCGCGCGCGAAACACTCGAGCTTGGCGCCCTCCTGGCAATCCGCCAGCGCGCTCACGATACATTCACGCGCTACTTTCAGCAATTACAGCCCTTCTACGCCCTCCCTGAATCCGTGCTACCAGCTGCGGGTGGACATGCTAGCAAGATTACGGGCTTGTATCTCTTGCAGCTGTTGAGTCAGAGTGATTATCTGAGCTTCCATATGCTGCTGGAGACGCTGGAAAGTGAGGGTGGGGGTGTGAGGATGGGAGATAAGGAGGTGCAATATCCGGTCAGACTGGAGCAGGCGTTGATGGAGGGGAGTTATGATCGTGTTTGGGGGGAGACGAAGGGATCGGGCGTGCCGGACGATGAGTTTCGGATGTTCAGCGAGGTACGTTTTGAACAATTGTCGCTCTGTGGAACGCTTTTAGATACAGACGAAGATGGCTTTGAGCTAACGTTGCATGATTACATAGGTTCTCATCCCATCAATTCGCCACGAAATCGCATCATGCAGCGAGCGCGCATACGCCAGCGTGCCCATGGCAAACGCAAAGAATCTGTTCTTCCTAGACAGCGAGGGCGCCGTGGCACAGTTTGCTAAAGAGAGGGGATGGAGTATTCAGGATGGCCGCATTTACTTCCCAAACCAGGAGGAGCTTACGGCGGGTGATAAGGATATCATGAGCACGAGTGGAACAGTCATCGAAAACACATTAGGCTATGCCCGAGAGTTGGAGACCATTGTGTAATCGACTGATGGAAAATATGGCATGTACACACATGACATCGAAAACGGGGTAGGAGAAGATAGATTGAGGTAATTCATGCAGTCAATTGCATATATGATTATTATCCTACAATGGAAAAACCGTAGTTGCCTAAGTGTAGAGAAGATCAAATGAATCCGCAAAAGTATCATATCAGCCTATTTCGCATTTCCGCAGCCGCTTCACGCTTAATTGTACCATGGTCTAATTTACAAACTCAAGCGCCTTTGCACCATTCTTCGCTCCGCTCAACAGTCAACAGGATTACATGTGAATTGGCTTCGAATAAGCCGCCATAGCAGCCTCCTTCACTGCCTCCGCCAAAGTTGGATGCGCATGGCATGTCCGAGCCACATCCTCACTGCTCGCGCCGTATTCCATCGCCAGCGCAGCCTCAGCAATTGATTCGCCAGCCGCTGGCCCAATAATATGTACACCCAAAATGCGGTCCGTCTGTGCATCGCTCAAGAACTTGACCATTCCATCGGAATCCTGGTTGGTCTTTGCGCGGGAGTTGGCGCTATAAGGAAACGAGCCGACCTTGTACTTGACGCCCGCCTTCTTGAGTTCCTCTTCATTCTGACCGACCCACGCGACTTCTGGATGCGTGTACATGACGGAGGGGATGACTCCATAATTTACGTGTCCGTAGCCTTTAGTGATGTACTCAATCGCTGCTACACCCTCTTCTTCTGCCTTATGGGCGAGCATGGGGCCGAAGGTGCAGTCGCCGATTACGCGGATATGAGGAATTTTGGTGCGATATTCTTGGTCAATTATAATGCGGCCGCTCTTATCCGTCTCGAGACCGATTTTGTCTAATCCGAGACCTTGAGTGTATGGCCGACGGCCAATGGCGCTGAGGACGACGTCGGCGTCTAGGGATTCTTCTTTGCCGCCTTTGTTGGCCTCAACTTTGAGCGAGATGCTGGAGTCTGAGACATCGCCGGAGAGAACCTTTGTGTTGAGCTTGAATTTGATGCCTTGTTTTTGTAAGATACGTTGAGTTGCTTTGGCGATTTCAGAGTCCATGCCTGGTCCGCCGATTTGGCCGAGAAACTCGACGACGGTGACTTCGGCGCCTAGACGGGACCAGACGGAACCCATCTCTAGACCAATGATACCACCGCCAATGACAAGCATCTTCTTGGGTACCTCCGTTAGCGCAATGGCGCCGGTGCTAGAGACCACCTTCTTCTCATCGATTGTTAGGCCAGGAAATGGTGAGACCTCGCTGCCGGTCGCAATGATGATGTTTTTGGCTCTTACACTACGCTCGCCGCCTTCGGTGAGTTCAACGTTGAGAGTATGTTCGTCAGCAAAGGTACCCGTGCCTTTGATCCATTCGACATTGTTTTTCTTGAAGAGGTACTCAATACCCTTTGTGAGACCGGCGACCGAGGTTTCTTTGGCTTTCATTAAATTTGCGACGTTAAGCTTCACTTCGCCAACGTCGATACCGCGACTTTTGGAGTCGTGGACGATTTGGTGGTAGAGATGGGAGTTGTTAAGGAGGGACTTCGATGGGATACAGCCTACGTTTAGACATGTTCCGCCAAGCGCCGTGCGCTTTTCTATACAGGCGACCTGGTTATTTTGTAAGTATGTATGCCTGAAGAAGTAGCTTTGGAAAATGTTACCTTTAATCCCTCCTGACCGGCTTTTATCGCGGCGACATAGCCTGCTACACCACCACCAATGATGACTACATCTTTTTCCTCTACAAAATTATCAGTATGCCACTCTAAGATATGTACCCGGGCTTCATACCAGCTTCTGAAGCATATCCTCGCCGTTGATTATAGGAATTGACTGGTCGAAAGGGCGAGGGGCGAAACGCGATTCTGGCACCGCCAAGTGTTCTCGGGGCGCTTCTAGCTATCGACGTCTTGAGCATTGCGAATATATGAAATGAGTTGAGAGGCCGCAAGGTAGATGTAGACGAGAAGGAGTTCAAATGTTGGAGAAGAGTTGAGAGGAAGAGGCGGTTTGGAAGTGGTGAAGCTTTGAACTTGAGCATCAGAGACTGGAGCTTCAATGGATCCGCAAGCTAGTGCATCTAGAAAACAATGACAGGGCGGTATGATTGGCCCGGCTAAGAGCGGTTGGATTACTAACATTTAGAACTCATTGCTATCAATCATCATTTCTTTACTGCTTTCTAGCTCCCATCTCCATGTTATTCTTAACTCTTCTTTGCCTTCTACTCTAGCCGTCATCGTGGCAATATATTGCAAGCATCGTGATGTAAACCCCAGTCCAGAGCGCCGTGTCAGCTTGTGACCTCACTTCAGCGCCCAGCACCTGGATCTGAAACTTTGACGGCAAGAAATCAGAACTCCACAATGTTGAATAACCATGTTCCAGTATATATCAGCTTCCGACCAGTTCATTCCTCTTACGAGATGGTACAGATGAGTTTGCCCTTGGTCTTATTTGACTCCATCAACTTATGCGCCTCCACAATATCCTTCCAGTCAAAAGTTTCTTCAATGAGAACTTTGTACGTCCCATCCAAGAACTTAGGAAGAGCATTCTCCACAAACCAATCCCTTAACTTCCCCTGATATTCTGGCGTCCGACTTCTCAGTCCGCTCGCCTCAATTCTCGCTCTTTTGCGGTACATTAAACCAATGTCAGTCCCCTCTGGCAACTTTGATCCTCCCAAAGCCGCAAGGCAGACTATCCGCCCATCTCTAGCAAGCACCTTGATATTGTCCTGAAATACTGGTGCGCCAATGTAGTCAATGATCACATCAACGCCTTCGCCGTTCGTCGCTTCGAACAGCTCATCAGCCCAGGTACTATGCGTGGTATTAAAAGCGCCATCAATCCCTAGCTCTTTGACGAGAAACTTGTTCTTCTCATCTTGTCTGGTCGTTGCATAGACTGCTGACGCTCCTCCGATTTTGGACAGTTGGATTCCAGCTATGCTAACGGAGGAAGCGCCTGCGTGCCATAGTACACGCTTGCCGGCCGTAAACTCCGCAACGAAATATAGCGCTTGTAATGCAGTGATCCATACCTCTGTGAAAAACGTTGGTCTTCTCTCAACTTGTGTGAATGAAAACGTACCTGGAATACCAGCAGCCTCCTCCCAACTAAGTTCTTTAGGTTTCGAAATAAGCATGTGAGTCGATGCAGCGATATACTCAGAATAAGCCCCTAATATCACATCAGCACATTCTACTCCACAAGTAATCGCATAAATTCTTCACCTACCGCCATAAGCCAAGCCAAAGACCTCATCTCCAACCTCGAAATGCTCCTTGTCGCTACTGTTTGCCTCAGGCCCCAGTTCTTCGATGATACCAGAGAACTCCACGCCCATGATTCCATTGGAGCCTGCAGGGACGGGATAATTGCCTTGTCGTTCCAGGATGTCCATGCGGTTTAGGCCAAAGGAATGGATTTTGATTATGGCCTGTGATCCCTCTGGCTTCGGCTTGTCAACCGTTTCATTGAACATCTGCATTTATTAGTTGATGTGATTGCGATCTTGACGCTTGTAGAAGAGCGTACTGCTTCTGCTGGATATGGCTTCTGGCCTTCCTTCTTGACGCCTAACATATTGTCAGCATTGAAGATTCACCGTTGGTATTGTGTCATCGTTGCATCATACCAACTGCTCGCATTGTTGCCATGATTGAAGAAGGTTGTTTGTTGCTTGCAAGTACTCTCAGTAGATACTTAGCGTGGACGACTTAGGTCAACGCGAAATTCGAATATAATCAGTTTTCAACTCAATCAGAAAGCTTTAAGCTGTGAAGTAGCATGGAGTAGATTTCAAAGCAACGAACCCGAATACGGCAAGGTCACAACGGAACTGTGAAGAGGTCATTTCGGGGCTAGATGATGACGATTATCAATCACATCCACTCCAACCCTTAAACAACCAATCTATTCAGCGATCTTACCTCCGGATTTGCAAAAATACATACATATCAATATCCCTCCTACAGGGAGATATGCTGACCCCCAGTGGTCATATTATTCGCTATTTAATGTTGCATCACTCTACATACTTATGGTTCTCCACGACCTGTGTAAGGTCAAAAACATGCTCCCAAGGAGAACAGTTAACATAGTCAACGGTGCTTTCGTTTCAGACATCTAGCAAAAAAAGAGAATACAATGATTATATTCGATCAAAAAGGAAAGGGGCTGAACCGTGGATTGAACACGGGACCTCCTGCACCCAAAGCAGGAATCATACCACTAGACCATTCAGCCTTGAAAGCAAGCGAACTCGATTTCAGATGAAGTTGACATTTACATTTTGCGGTAAACGTATAACAAATTTGGAATGAGAATTCACACCCTTCCAGAACCTCATACATTGTTTCTACTCTTAAGAAGCCATCTTTACTGTATCTATTATTTTCTGGTAAACCTGAAAATAGCAATTCAATTAAGTTATTAGATTTAGTGACACATACGGTGACAGGAGTACTCGCACACTCAAGCTCCTTCCGACCCATACTGTTGAGTCCACTCCTGGCACTTCAAAATATCCTCCTCACCAACCGACGCCTTTACTCCACTCAATACACTGAAAAAGTCCATGGTACTTATCGCTGGCTCCCTCAATTTCTTTGGCGGAACCTGTTTCCAGGTCATCGGCTGTGCTCCTGACTCATGAGCCTCGCAAGGAGTTATTTGCTCAGGGCCTTTGTCATACACCTAACTCAAAATTAGCCACACAGCTAGTTGAGCGATTGTTTTTTGCAAGTCTTACCTTTTTGAAGTACTTGGCCATATGAACCTTCTTGACCGGAATCATCAATGCATCTTGTATTATAATGGCAATATCACTACCCGAAAAACCTTGCGTCCGCCTGGCCAGCTCATCAATGTCTCTCTCGTGGATATCTGGAGCCAAGTCGCCAATGTTGATACGGAACAGTTGTTTTCGCGCCTCGTGCTCTGGAAGTGGAATGTGGATCCGTTTCTGGAAGCGACGTCTCATTGCTGGGTCCAAAACCCAAGGTAAATTCGAAGCGGCGAGAACTAGAACACCAGTGTTATCGTTTCCTACTCCGTCCATTTGGATTAGAAACTCGGTTTTCATGCGTGCAGTGTCTTCTCCGCCACCACCACCACCTGAGCCATCTCGATTGGCACAGAGGGCATCAATCTCGTCGATGAATATGATTGATGGCTTCTTTTCTCTAGCCAGCTGGAAGAGACCGCGAACTAATCTGCGAACTGTGAGAACTGTATCAGTTTATGAAGCGGGTACTTACTGCTCACTCTCGCCATACCATTTGGACATGACATCACTGCTACTAATGCTGAAAAGAGTGTATTCCACCTCCGTAGCAACAGCCTTGGCCAGATATGATTTGCCGGTTCCAGGAGGGCCATAGAGCAAAATGCCTCTTCTTGCCTTTCTCTTTCCGGTAAACATTTGAGGAAATCTAAGCGGGAACACTATAGATTCTTGCAACTCTTCTTTCGCTGCCTCAAGTCCTGCCACATCCTCCCATTTCACATTCGGCTTCTCCGACACAATTGACTGCAACAGGCTCTCCTTAAGCTGAGTCTCTTGAAATTTCTTACCAAGTTTATCAATTTCGGACGGTTCTTGGCCTGGAGTGCTGCTGCCCGACGCTGGCGTACTTGCTCCCCATCCGGGTGTGCTCTCCTGGGAAGAAGCAGGTGCATTGGGAGTAAAGAATGGCGAGTCGGTCTCATCGTCGTGCTGAGAAAAAGAGATTGAAGGCGTTCCAGCCTTGATCTTGGTGATTTTGCATAATGGCAATGTGTGGGGACATCTCTTCGATGGAATGGCATAGCAGTCAACACAGAGATCAAAATCACCGCCATCGCAAATCTTGCAGTAATGACATACATCACCGTCTGTCATCTTTCCGTGGCAAGATGAGCAAGTTAGACCAGGGAGTAAAATACCATTGTAGGACTCAGGGTATCCTCTGACCCCAGTAGGTTCCTTCGACGCCGGAGCTGTCGAGCTGGCAGCTTGGCCAGGCACTTTGGTGGTAATTCTGAGCCGTCGCAGGTTGTGTGGACAGATTTGCTTCCGTTGTGCTTCACTCATAGTATCGAAACACCCTGGGCACATATCGAAATCGCCGCCGATGCAGATGGAACAATAGTAAACTTCTGCTCCTGGTAGCATTCCAGCGGAACAATAACTGCATACGATGCCGCCATGGCACCATCTTATACCTGCGCTAAAGTCTGCCGCATCATCTGTGCGACTGGGCACGATCTCTTTACCCACTTCTTGGACGATCTTCCGGCTCATAGAATGCGGACATGATGTCCCAGTGTCAGTGCAATCTGTACAAAACGCCTCGACGCCTTTGTTACAAGTCGGGCAGTGATAGCATGGAGACCCTGTGGTGATGGGTTTGCTGCAATTTTTGCACTGGCAGCCAAGGCTCATCCACAGCATCCAGTCTTGATTTGTGGGTGTAGCCGATGGAGTTGGTGCTGCCACCTTAGGAGCTTGAGGCTTCGGTGGCGGCTTTTGCATGATAGCAATGAGCGCGTTCGAAGGCCTCTCTCCATTGGCAATTGTCTTGATAACTTCGGCAGGCAAATTGCTGTTTGTTGGAAGGCAGTATGGGTACTGCGCTTCATGTTCATTGAAGAATCCCACAGCATGAATGAAAAAGTGTTCGTCACTCCAAGGACTAAGGCAAGAACGTGGACCAATGTCGTACTTGTAACTGAACTGGCCAAGCAGCTCTTGAAGGCCTTTACCGATCTTATCGTAAAGAATCTCACTGCCAACTTTCATCATTACTGAATCATTGGCACCAAAGAAGACTAGATCTACCTCTGAGAACTGGTTGACTTGAGCTTCTGGTCCTTGAAAATTCAGATGGGGCCCAGCCAAAGCGTAAAAGCTATCTGGGAAGCGACCAACGGTGGAGACTTGGGAAGAATTGTCTCCCCATCTGATGTACCAGGCTCCGTGGGGAGAAAATGCGACATGCTTCACGCCGCCGTAAAGAACTCTAGTGAGGCCGCCCTTGATGGCTTCCAGTAGATCAGTACGATTTGTTCTGACTATAACTCGTTAGCTTTCATACAGTCAAGTGTGGTAAATTCATGGTCACGAACTCTGTCCGTCTGTAGTCGCGATACAATATGCATCATTTGGACCAGTAGTCATCCAAAGAATCTGCGACCCAGTCATGGATTTGTCCTGAAACATAGAGCCAATATCGGCCCATGCTTGTTGAAGTCTTGGCTGAGGATTCTGCCTGATAGACTGTTAGATCTTTGATAATAGGAGAACTAGAGATTTGCAACCTACGCGTGCGAAAACCGCTCATTTCCAATCAGCCATGAGGACGCGTCCGGCCCAAATTGATAAAACATGACTACAGAGCTTTTGATAACGACCCAATACTCTAATTCGGGCGATAGGATCGGTTCGCAAGGAAAATAATGTTATTCAAGCATTTCAAAGCGGTTCTGGTCTTGGAAGTCGGAGGTGTTGAGTCCTGACTTCTTCTTCAGGGGTAATGTTCCAGACTCAGCCCAACGACCAGCCAAAACGATCAAGCCACGCGTGGTACAACTTTCTTTTGCATCGTGTCAAATTGTTGCTAGCCATACGTGGTTTAGTACTTAGAAAGCGCTAAAAATACCGTAAATCTTTTTTAAGGGCATGTATGATATCATGTACTTCAGCATAAAATGCCCTTCACAAATAGACTCGAAGACGAAAATACCTCCATCCTGACTTCGAACATGACAGGTAGACACTGTATATTGATACATGGGTGTTATGAATTGAGCAAATTATATATCACTGGTTTATTGTCACGAAGCGATTCTTTTTAACGAATCACACGGAAAGATCCAAGAGTGTCGACGACAAATATGCTTCCGGTATATAACTTTCGGTGCTTGGGTTTGTACCTTCACGCAAGAAAACCCGAGCCTGTATCCTTCGTTTTCGTCCTAGCGGAGGATGATTCTCAAAATGCTCATGCGAATTGTGTAAATATCTGTGCCAGTGAGCTTGAAGTAAGAAGCTAGAAGCAAAAACCGATTGAACCAGATAGATGAAATTTGATTCGGTACCCTGAAGCCAAACACAGCGTCTTGGCTTGGAAACCATAAATATTGTTGTGGGATAATACCATCAAAGGCCTTACGGTAGCGTGGTCGGGCTCAATATTCACATGTACGATTCGTTGGGAGAATGCTTCAATCAAATATGAGACTTTCTGGCTAGAATGTTTCAACACATTCTCATATTTGAGACAGACGCAGTCAATTCTGCCCTTAGCTTTCAGCGTTACAGAGAATTAAGACAAACTTGAAAGATCTTTTACACAACGATAGCAAAAAACACTTACAGTCTTGATTGAATACCAGCTTACCAAGCGATTGAGCTGAAAGTGGGTATTCTCTAGAGCGTAAACAACTGCATCACGCGGAGCACAAGTCTACATATCTTGGTTCGCCAAGGCCACGTTGCTAAAGAATAGATTCTTAGAGTAGACTTTAAGAAAAACAACAACTTCGTGACTAAAACTACTTTTTGCTCTAACTCTACTACCGCTACGAATTACTACCTAATAAATACTACAAAATACTTTTCTAGCTCTGAAGAATCTTATCTAACTCTTTTTAGTAATAAGCAAGGTGGCGTAGTAGCTTATTATGGATGTTAAGGATCTAAACTTGTAGACATATAGATCTAATATTATTATAGAGATTAATAATATTACTAAATTTATTTATAATACTATAGAAAATAAAGAAAAATTATGTCCCTAGTATAAACTAGAACTACTATTCTACTTTATTAATAACTATTTTAAAAAATAGGAATAGGAACTTACTATAAGTAATATTTTAAAGGCTATTAATTAGATTAGAGAAAATACTAATGCGTTAAAAACTAATATAAAGGTTATTAAATATAATATTAACGTGCCTAAATCTAATACCTAAAGCCCTAATACTAAACTATAAGGAGTATATACTTAGGCTAATATAATAGCCTTAGCTCTATTACCTTCTTTAATCTAATCTAAACTAACGTTAACCTCTCTATTTAGTAACGTACCTAAATATTATACTCTAATAGTACGCGTTAATAATAAGGAATAGTTCTTTATACTCTATACTACTAAGAACTATAAATAAGATATTATTAAAAAAGCTAATAAAATGATTTAGAACTTCTTCTTTTTTCTTCTCTACTAAGCTAAAATTATTACTGCCTACTTCCTTCTAAG